CATTATTTTATTATGAAAGTATTCTCAGTTCATAAAGTCTAGAGGTAATTGAAACAGTAATTATTAAAGTGCATAATTTACTACCATAAAATTTTAGTTTGTTTCAGCAATCTCTTTTTTAAATCCAAAATTTTCACAAAATGTTTCTATACCGTAATTAATATTGCAATTATCTGTAACAATGCCAAGTTTTAAAGGTGCATACTTTTTATAATTTGTTCTATTAACCGGCGTAATAATTTTCTCAAATTTTTCAAATTTTTTGTCAAATATTCTTAATTTAGAAAGTTTGCTTCTTAATTTTGTATTTTTTAAAATTACATTTGTATCAATATTTGAATGCCTCTTTAATACTTTTTGTAGAACAATAAGAACAGGTGATTCGTCATGTAAAAATTTTAGTGCATCTTTCATACAAGTTAATAATGGTTTGTAAATTTCGAATTCTCTATGAAATCTCTTATTATATGCTACTGAAATTGAGTCCTTATATTTTGTTTTTATATCCATTTCATATATTCGATTAATCTCTAATAACATATTAAAATTTCTAACAATTTCATAGTAGATTGAACTCAATATTATTGAACCAATCTTCATTTTTTCAGTTACATTTTCAATAGTTACTGTATTTTCATTGGGTCGAATATGATCATTAATANTCAATAGTTACTGTATTTTCATTGGGTCGAATATGATCATTAATATTAATTTTATCAAGTTTCTCATAGACATTGTTAGTTTCTTTATAATTATAAAATTCCAAATCTTTGGTCAACTCAATCCAATTTTTATGAGTAAAAATTGTATTCATCTTCTTAACCATTTCTTCATTTGTGTAACACAAAGAGGCATAAAATGAAGTAATTAAAATTATGATTATTAGCAAAATATTCATAATTGGCTTTTATATAGATTTTCTATACTAAAGTTTAAATACTTTAATAAAATTAAAATGTATATAAAATGTTCTTTTATAGTACTTTATAAATCAGGTAACATACGAATTTTATTTGTAAAGACTAAATCTAATTATAAATTGATATGATAATAATTTATTAAGTAAATATTTTAAAGTCTTGATTTTTGCAACTAGATCATGTGTAACAAAAACAGCTCTTGGCCTTGTAGTTGTTCATTTTTATTCTATATTTGGAGGTCATATTTTAAATCATAAACTAATTGAGCCTTAACTCTTTATAGGAAACAGTGAAATTCTAATAGAAAGTTTTTTTAAAGCTCAAATTTCAATAAATCAATAAATAAATATGTATTAGAATCACACGACGCAGTATTAAAATACATAATTGTGGCTTCTATGAATTCTGTACCCAGATAGCATTTGTTTACAAATTATGTTATAGTTATGTTGTTATAACGTTATTTTAACTTATAATATTATATTACTGTTATAAGAATTATTCGATAACATTATTTTTCAAAATTGCTTTATAGATTTATAATTTCATTTTTGAAACGAGAATACTAATTGAATTCATAATGTAGTGTAATAAACAAAAGTATATATAATAAAGATTACGAAAGGTTTAGGGAGTAGGATTGGTATAGGGTTCTCGGGGTTTCATAATTAAGTCCATTATTAAATACTTAAACGATTCAACAAGTTTATCTCGATCGTATCTCTTTTTATTATTTTCTCAACTGCTTATACGTTAAAGCTAATGTAATGTACTTTAGTTTGAGAAAAAAAAATTTGACCTCTGAACTTGTCTTCATGGTGAAATTGGCAACCGAATGCTATTATTGTGTGAAAATTCTCGATTTTATTTTTTACATTTTTAACTTTATAATGCTATGACATATTGAAAAGTGTATGGATCAACATTAATTTTTTATGAGAAATAATATTTTTTAATAATCCTATTTTCATTCGACATACATTATCTTAATCAAGATATTAATAAGGAACTATCAGATCATATAGCTTTTGGAATAATACACCAATTTTTTAGAATTAAATACTATCTAAAGATTTGCATCGAAGCGTTTTTTTTTTTTGATAGTGATTCTAATCATTGTCAAATATCATTATACTTAATCCAACTATACCACGTCACCACTATGCCACGACCCCCCTGTGCTGAGTTTTTTGTAATAATGTTGAAGAATCAAAAATGATTATATTAACATTTTTAAAACAATTTTAGAACAAAAATAAGATTTACATACAATTTTCTGTTCTTTGTGTGTATATGTTAAAATTTTGTATTAAGTCACAAAAACTAATAAACTACGCTTAGGGTTCCATTGTCATTCATCTTGAGACATGTGTTAAAGTAGATCGATCGGCACCAAATTTTGTATAATTTACATTCATTTATGTATTCGGACAATTCCGAGAGGTGACATTTTGCATTATTCAAAGTTACACCCTAAGACTATATGTATTAAAATGGTTGTACTCAATGAATACTTATTCTAAAATTGATTGGCACAGAACGTCTTTAGCAAATTGTTTAGTAACTCGCCGCAAAATAGTATCCCAACCCAACCAAACCCAAGTTTCATACAGTTTTGTACAACGCTAAAAATATCATCGACAATCATTGGCCTTCTGATGATCTTACTCGATGTTCTTTATCATCAAGAACGACCAATGCACCAGCACTACGTCATAATTACAGAACATCGATTATTTACAACAACAAGTGTTCAGCCTATGACTCAACACCACCGCGCTTTTTGTTCTCTCGTGTTTACACTGTAAATGACCGTGTAAGTTGATTCGTTGACCGGTCGCTTACAAAGTCTAGTATTTTTTAATAAGTGTTTATAAGACTACATTTTATTATTATTGATTTATTTATGTTTTGTTCACGCTAGTATTGAGACTACATCTCAAGCTAAGTTCATGTTCAATCAAGTTATTTTGAAAGCCTTCGTCTTTCAACGCGGGAAGTATGTTTGGCACAGAACTCCTTTAGCAAAGATCTAGTAAACCAGTTGTTACAAACATCGTTGATTATATTATATCGTCTGGCAGCCGATCTCCAGCGTCTTGATTTATTCGTCTCCTCGCCCACCCAGCACGGCAAATCAATGACCTCCGTGTCAATTATCACCCGATCGTTGTCGTAAGTCAATCAATCAGTTTAATTATGTGCTATTCTTTTCTGTAGCAAGCGCCTTCGCTTGAATGGTAAATTGTTCGGCCATTATAAGCCTGTTATTTTTTTATTTGTTTATTGTGTCCTTCTACTAGTGATTGGGCCCTGACCATCACTAAATATCTTCATTGCCGTAGTCGCTTTTCCGCCGTCTGTTCTCATCTGCCACTGTTGTTATTTATGTATAAGATATTCTGTACATACGTACTTTTTTGTTTTTTTTTTTTTAATTTCTTATAATAGATACAAAAACAACGAGAAAACTGTAAATGATAATAAAAAACGACATATGGACATCGACTATAAATCTATAGATTTCATTTAGCATTTCACGATTTAACATATGACTTATTCTTTAGATTTGAAAATTAGTGTATATATTATCTATTGTAGTATCTCTAAAAAATAAATAAAACAAAGTTTATGGTACATTTATTTTAATACGAAAATCCTGTTGTTCTGACAATTTGCTATAATGAAAGTATGTGTCAGAACATCATGGGATACTTGGGGTATTACTACACAGGGTCAATGACTTAACATGTTATGGCTCGGCAGGGGGGCTTATATCCTGTCGATGCCATGATTTCATGATAAGTGTTATAAATGGCTACTTATTATTTCACTAGGGTTATTTTAAATTGTGTTTGATTATATATTATTATTATTTTAGTAATTGAAAATAAAAAATAGATAGAATTAGCTGAATGTTTTTATCAAATAATGCGCCCCACAATAAATTTGATTTAAATTGAATTAAAAAAAAGTGATGAGTTTTACATATAATGTTATTTGTTAGAAGCATAATTTAGAATCTCGATTTTATTGCGATGACGGAGGCAAATATATAAAGTAGAAAATTTAAAACTTTAAAAAAGAACTAAATATACACAGCGTATACACTCAAATTAATTAATAAATGTCTTTATATAATTTTATTTCGAAAAAAAAAGTACAATATGTATATATAATCCATAAATCACGTCCATGTACTTTAAAAAGAAGAAAAATAAACTGTAAATATTTTCAACAAAAAATTTACGAATTTAATTTGATATTGTATAAATCTATTTGTGAGCAGGTAGTATATTTTTATGTACACGCAAAACAAATGACAAATGGCGTCCTTTTTAAGCTTCAATGCAAAGCAGAGAACGTATTAATTTGACTATAATAAGTTTTTTTAATTTTATATTTCTGTAGCCACTTTTTCTCAGCTCTCACCTTAACATTTTCAATCTACAATACGTCAATAAATTACAAAACGTATTTAGGGAAGACATTTGCAATGAAACATGAAAAAAATTATTCTTGGCCTCAGTAAAAAGGAGTAATAACTAAAAAATATTAGGATTTTTACAATCGCTTAAATTTCGACATTTTATAATACTGTTAAAACCATTTGAAAAATTAATGAAGCAAAATATTATTTTTCATATATATTATAGGTATTATTCTTTTATTTGATATACATTTTACCAAAATCTGTACCTTTATTCACCCATAGAGAGACATTTAAAATGACAACATTACAATAAAAAGTTAATTCTTTTGAGAATTTTGGGGAACTAAACCAAGCTTCATACATGTATTCCCCTAGCCAATGGTAAAAAACATATTATTTTATATTATTTGACGAGTCAATAACAATTTTAGGACAAGTACTCATTGGTTACTGTAATTTTAACACATAAAGTGGGTGGGTGTAGCCCATACTTTTAAATGTGTATTCCACATTAAAATTTTTGTAAGGAAACGATTAAAAAATATATATTTTGAAAAAAAAAAAAAGAAAAAAATGTCTTATTAGTTATAAACGCAGTCTAAGAAACCAATAATTCATTTTTAAATATATTTATAAATATAATATAATACATTATAACCCATAAAACAAATACTGTTTTCAAATTTATAATAAAAAACGCAATATGTTATATCGCTTAAAGTCTTGTTGCAAGCAATAATATCGTATTAAATTTTTAAGAAAACATCAAATGTTTAATTATATATGATTGAATGGATATAATTTTCGGAAAAATATCTTGGGAGTACCGTGATTAATCTCTTTTGTGTACAGTAGTAGTTAGTTGAAAAAATGATTAATATAAGTCTTTATAGTCGCCTATATATATATCCTATAGGGTACTTAATTGTATTTTTCAATTTGCTAAATAACTATTGGGAATGATTAGGTGAGGAGGGTCTACGTAAAATGGTAAAAATTCAATTGAAACTTCACGTTTCTGTCCTTAAATGAGTAGCCCAAGGAAGATACTCTAAAAATATCATTTTTTTACAGAATGGTATATCGGTATTTGACAACTCCAAGGCAACGGTCCAGCCGATCAAGAGTCCAAAATTACCCCAATCGTCCATCGCGTATCGCCGCAGGACACCACGATAATGTAGAGCGTAAAAAGGTGATTGAGCCGGATTCCCACCTCACTGAGAAACCGTCCGAAAACTTGGAATAGTACGCCGAANTACAGTAGTAGTTAGTTGAAAAAATGATTAATATAAGTCTTTATAGTCGCCTATATATATATCCTATAGGGTACTTAATTGTATTTTTCAATTTGCTAAATAACTATTGGGAATGATTAGGTGAGGAGGGTCTACGTAAAATGGTAAAAATTCAATTGAAACTTCACGTTTCTGTCCTTAAATGAGTAGCCCAAGGAAGATACTCTAAAAATATCATTTTTTTACAGAATGGTATATCGGTATTTGACAACTCCAAGGCAACGGTCCAGCCGATCAAGATTCCAAAATTACCCCAATCGTCCATCGTGTATCGCCGCAGGACACCACGATAATGTAGAGCGTAAAAAGGTGATTGAGCCGGATTCCCACCTCACTGAGAAACCGTCTGAAAACTTGGAATAGTACGCCGAGGAGAGGACCAGCCGGACGGAACTTTGGGAGATCAGGGCCCATTCGTTTATCTAGGCCATTTAGCCTAGAATACCGGAGGCCTCTAGGCGTGACCCAAAACTTTGCTCCTAATGCAGCGAACACGGTAAGGGATGATGGAGATGGAGTCGGATGTCGACATCATCACCAACGCTTCTAAAATCATTAAGCCAGATTTAACCGAGGTGGAGANGAGAGGACCAGCCGGACGGAACTTTGGGAGATCAGGGCCCATTCGTTTATCTAGGCCATTTAGCCTAGAATACCGGAGGCCTCTAGGCGTGACCCAAAACTTTGCTCCTAATGCAGCGAACACGGTAAGGATGATGGAGATGGAGTCAGATGTCGACATCATCACCAACGCTTGTAAAATCATTAAGCCAGATTTAACCGAGGTGGAGAACTAACAAGTAGATCAGCTGTCCCTATGGATCGGACTGAGAGGAACATCGTGTCACGGTCACAATGCACTCCGGTTTTACCACTGGTTAGTGATGGCGATAAAGAAAGCAAGAAGATTAAATCTAAGCATAGATTTTTTTCTTGTTAAAAATAGTTACCGTAATCAATAATAAGCTATTTTTGTGTTCAAATTCTGGGTTTTGTATTTTATTGTATTTTAAAATATCTTACACTGACTTTCATGAATATTATATAATTTCATTGATATAGAATATAAATTTAAACTTAAAATTAATTTTTTTTTTTTCGAGTTGTAAAAAGTAACTTTAAAATTTGATTTAGCTTAAATCACCAATTATATCAAGCGATGAACAGTTGCCGAATCGGTAACACTTGTGTCTTTCACGCTTAGAGTCGAGGTTCAAATTCGCCTGTAGCAATTAATTATTTTTTCCTTAATTCTTTTTGAGTTAGACAAAATTATTTTTTCATTAGATTTCAAATTATTTGATTTTTATCTCATTTAAATTCAATAAACATTACAGGGGGGTTCAAAACTTAAAACTGCATATAAAAAATAGAACAGTTTCTACTTAATTTTTGAAAGTGTTCCGGAAATACTGACACTTATATATATAATATATATATAAGTGTCAGTATTTCCGGATATATATATATATATATCTTAAATTAAAGTTTCTGTAATATACTTTATAAGGGAAAAAAATTTTGGACTTTCAATTGTTTTCATGGTGAAAACAGCCATCAAAATTAATAAAATTAATTAAGGACCATATTCCTTTTCTATATTTTTATATTATAAATATATATAAATATATTTATATGTTACACTTATAAATCATAAAACTTGTAATCAGAATATAAATAAAGAAATAGGAGATCTGGTTGCTTTTGGAATAATTCATCAATTTTTTAAAATTAAACACTATCTACAGATTTGCATCAAAGCGTATTTTATGATAATGATTTTTAATCACTGTCAGATATCATCTATACTGCCAACTATGCCACGACCTCACTGTGCTGGAATTTTATTTTCAGTCAATATCAAGTGAAGACCTAGAAAATATGTTCGAAGAAGATCGTCACATATCATATGATTGAATAATCTTTTTTCTGTCTCGTTAATTAGCTAATAAATTGCGCATGAAAATAACTTCTTTTTAAAATAAAAGAATATATAAATTAAAATTTATATTTTTAGATAAGTAGGTTTATCTACGATACGAAGCGCAGAATGTTTTAATTTTATTATGATATGTTTTTTTTTGTTTTAAACTGTCACCACTTATTTCAGCTCTCACCAGACCGTTTTCTTACAACAATACGTAACGAAGTCGTATAACAAAAAAATTACAATTTTTACGAATTACGACATATTTTTCACTTTAATTTTTAAAACTATCATAACTTTTCAAAAAATGAATAATTCAAATAAAATTGATTTTGTAAATACTTTTGGTATATTCCTTTCATTTTGTATAAATTTAATACGATAGTTGATTTTATATTTTTAACTCTAATTTGCTATAAAATTTTGGACAATGTATAGATCAATACAATTTTTTTGTATGAAGAAATTACTTTATATTTGAAGTAATCCCGTTATCGCATACTTGTTTCTTCAGGGAATGACTGAGGTTGCAACATTTGACGAAATTCGGTCAAATAGATAAAGGTACAGCCGACCGCAAAAAAACAGGAATAGAGTCCATGGTAATGATGATGAGGATATTTTAGAAATGACTTGTTATGAACTTTACATTTTCTTTTATTCAACTTAATAAATATGAGTATAAGAATTTAATAATGTTCGTAACAAATCATTGTGATTAATAAAACAAACCATGTAACATAACATTTTTAGTTTTTTTTTTTTAATGAAGTTAAACATAAAACGCAAATTAAAATAAATACCAAAAATTGTCGACTAATTATTTTAATTCATTGTTGATAAATAAATACGTGTATACCATAATAAAGACTAATAAAATACGTTTTTTCTTACAATGTGTGACTAAGTATATCTTATTATAAATTTAATTTTGAAAATTATAATCTAAAAATTTATACATTAGTTATACACTAATAATTTCACTCTAAAATAGAAAGTGTTACAATATAACTTATTTAATAAAATTAACTTATTTATGTATTAAGTTTTATTATCTATTTATTAATTTAGTTTAATTTATTAAACTAGCATTATGAAATATATAGTTCAGTAGTAATCTAAATAATTGAATGCAAATTATAACAAAAACGTACTTTTTTGGGGTAAAATAATGGTATTTATTCTTTAAAATTACCACCATCGAAGCCTAAATCTGTACAAAATTTCTGTACACCGTTTCGAATTTCCAATTCTATATTTTCGTTGTCTAGTTCAAAACATTTGTATTCATTAAAATCTATATTAAAAACTTTTTTAAATTTTTGTTGAAAATTTTGAAAATTTTTGTCAAAAATATTTAACTCCAAAAGTTTCTTTGTTTCAATTTTAGCGGTCCCAATGTCGTCAATATTTTCAACATTTTTTTTTTTTGATAACCAATCTATTAATTTATTTAGAGCTCTAAGAACAGGAGTTGAATAATTGAAAAATTGTAGCGCATTACTCATACAAGTTATTAATGGATTGAAAGTATTAACAGACTTATTAAATAGGTTCAAGTATTTAATTATTTTATCATCATAATTAACATTACTATTATTATTTTTTGTTTTCTTCGATTGATCTTTTAATTTTTGGTAAAAACTAATCTGGCTTTGAGGATAAACCAATTTTTCAACAATGTTGTAGTAGATTGAACTTAATATCATTGCACCATACTTTATTTTTATATTTAAATTTTCACTGGTTACTATCTCTGTATCGCCAACAAAGGGTTGAAAAATATGGTCATGATTAATTACGTTACCGTTATTAAAATAATAAAAGTAGTCATTTGTTAACTCTTTCCAATTTGCATGACCAAAAATTTCATTTAGTTTCGTAATCTTTTCTGTATTTACGTTACAATAGAATGTACAGGAGTTGGCGAATATTGATATAATTAAAATTACAAGCATTATTAAAATATCCGTAAGTACCACTTATATAAATTTATTATATTAAATTTTTAATACTGTAATAAAATTTTAATGCGTATACAAATTTATTTTATATTACTTTATGAATCAGGTCACACGTGTATTTTATTTGTATAGAATACAATTATTTTTAATTATTTTGATAATATTACGTCTTGATTTTCGCACTAGTTCATATGTTACATAGACAACAAAATATGGTTAGTTTTTATTATAAAATAGCTTAGTGATTAAGATATTAATATTAGTAAGATATTCAATTTAAATTTTACTATAGATTACATCGTTCAGGTCTAGAACTTTGCGATTCAGCCATTTTAAAGATACCCATTTGGCATCGCAGTTTTGGTTAAAAAGTCGTTATAGCGCTTATAATGTATAGAGAGTTGAAACAAATACTTGATGTAATTAACTTATGAAAAGAGTAATGGAGCTTTTCCGAACTTAGCCATTGCTCCTAGGATTTTTTTATGAGACCTAATAACTTAATCTGCTATGGAACGCAGAATAAATACAAGAATTAAAAATTGATTATTGAAAATTACGTAGTTTGTGGATTTTAAATAATACGAAAATTGTAAATTTTGTAAATTCTATAAGTAGCGTTAAAATTATTTCTCCATCAAAAATTTTCACCAGAAGTTTTAAATGCCTAAAGGAAAGTACTATGTAAATTTGAAAAAAATTCGTTCAGTCACTTTTGTGTAATGAGATGATAAAGTTGGCTATTTTCATAAAACCTTGCATGTTCAAGACCGTAAAACGATACAAAAAAATTATAAATCGATTCAAATATGATATGGGTTAAAATAACATATCTAAAAGTTTCCGAAAAGAAAAACAAATTTTAATTAAAAAATTTTTTGACCTTCAAATTTTGCTATTAAAATACTACAAAATTAAAAAATTTAAATCAAAATTTCGATGTTTGTGTTGTAAGAACATTTATTACTATGTTCTTACCACTTATATTACACACGTTTTATTTCTATTTATTTAATTCGTAATACATATTAATTAGCATAGAGGGAGATGCTGATGTGACAATTCTACTCGTCTGTAGTCCGGAGCTACTGACGTCGAACTAACAAAGGGCAGTTGTGTTTGAGTGGCCGTTATAGACATAGTTTTCAATATTATTACTTTCGTCTTATTTATATTATTTATAACTTAACTTGTTTTATTCAACGACCCGTCTATCGCCAATTGTCATCATAGCCAACCAACTCCGTCTCACTTGGATATCCCTACTAACCAACTGTACTAGGATTCAGGTCAGACGTATTGTACATTACATATAACTTATATTTACTAAACATCTAAAATATAACTTTACTTTGTCGTTGACATAAAACAATAGTCTAATTTTATTTAATAATCTATCCTCTGTAACTAAGGTACACGATTGCCTGTATCTCCTTCAGGCAATTAAAACTCATTTAAGGAGATAGGGACGATATTTGGGCAGACGTCGGGTAGCTTCCAATTCTTGGTTTTGACCAAGATCCTCAACTATTAAACAAGCCCCTAACAGTGTTATCTGAAGGAAATACAGGCAATCGTGTATATTGGTTAATAGAGAGAGATGAAAGTTAAACTATTGTTGTATTTAATCTTGTAGTAAAATCTCGGGTCAGTGTGAACAATCGTTTATAAGATGTCGCGTTTATTTCGATTAGTTAGATTTATGTGTGTATAAATAGTCATCATTATAATCAACATTACGCGCTCTTATTATTATAACAATATACGTCGTTCATAAAATACACACTTTAAAGGATTCTATACAATGAGACCTGTGTCAATTGTGATTTTTTATTCTTTTTTTACTTTTCAAACTCTTTTCATATTACACTAGGTTTCTGCCTATAATATTTCCAATAAATTCCATATACTCGATATCGATATTCTTAAAACTCACTCTGAACTTGTCAAAATAGAATTAAAAGAATATGTTTATCTATATTTAAAATTAATCAACAAGACAATGTTGGCCCAGCGTTTCTCTACGTAAAGTCTTGGCTGGCGCAGACACTATTAACCTTATCAATATATATACATATCATTTAAATACACCTTTTTATATATTTTACCTCAATTGCTTATAAGTTACCAAT